CTATTTGCCTTCATATAGTTATTATTTTGTCATTATACTATTTGCCAGCGAGTACCTCTATTAAAGCCACTGAAGCATAATGATTTGCTGTGACACAACTAGTTGTGCTTATTTACTCGCGCATCATTGATATAATGATCAAGTTGAAAAACTTCTTACTATAGTAATTTTTTACTATATAGAATTTGTCTTTTAGTAAAATGAAATTCACAAAATAACTGCAAAATTAACGGAAATCAGAGGCCATAACATTTTTTACAGTCATGTACATTTTAATTTTTTTCTTGAAAACAAACCTTCCCAGCAGTCAATAAACTGACTCAACTTGATTTTGGGGATATGGGAGTTTCCATGGACACAACATATTGAAACATGGCAAATTGACTAAAATTGAACACCTTTCTCAGTAAACTTGATTCAAACACATCTGAGAGCTGAACGAATCTGTCAACCAAACATATTCTCATTCATTTTGGGTTTTGGGTTTAAACAGGTTTCAGTAAAGTATAGCAAAAAATAAAAATACACCAACAATTATGGATGATGTGGAAGACATTTGAGTATATTTCATTTTCATTAAATACATGTATAGATGTGTTTCATTAAATATAGATGTGTTTCATTAAATATAGATGTGTCATTTTTCTTACCTGTATCAATGGTAGAGCAGCTGGTGATGGAGATCGTCGAACTATGGTGTTCGGTGATGACGGTGACAGAGAACTGAGGGATTCCGGTACAGCAGTATGCGATGATTCCGATCTTTCTTCTAGTTCTAAGATACGGAATTCAAGTAATTCATTTTGATCGCGTGAATCATTTAAATCACGTTTAACTTTCTTTATTGCATCTTCTTTTTCTTCAACCTGTGAAAAATGAAAAAATAAGGTAAACAGTTGAAATTTACATTGTTGTTGCTGATGTATAGTTGGCAGTGAGAGTTTGTAATTTATTCTAGCTGGAATTAATTTTCAGTGAAAAGACCTTTCGAGTGTTTTGTATTTATTTTCACTGATTTCACTGAAATGGTATATTCGCTTCGGCTGGATTGTATTTTCAATGAATCATCCCTTCAGTGACTTTCCGACTTTCACTAGGTGTGTATGGTTCCTAATTATTGCTTATTTCTTGTTTACTGGTGAAATTCATCATGACAAAATATTATCATCATTTATCTAATCCTGTGAGACTTGAAATACATTATCTGGCAAAATATGATACCAAAGTACACACTGTAAGCCATTTTAATTACGTGAGAAACAAATTCCAGTCAGTAAAAAAATTTGGAGCAGTGAAAATTTCCCTGGAGTTCTATGACACAGAGTGTTAGTGACTTTTGTAAAATTTTGTTTTCATGATTGCCATAAAATCTTGAAATTGAAAAAATTAATAGAAATGATAATTAATTGCATTCAGCAGTGTTTTCAAATTTTGAATATTCCTAGAAGCATATAAAATATATGGACTTTTTACATGCTGAAACATGCAAACCTATATTTTTCATACATAAAATTTCATATTATCATTCATACATTAAATTTCATATTATCGTTCATACATAAAATTTCATATCATCGTTCATACATAAAATTTCATATCATCGTTCATACATAAAATTTCATATCATCGTTCATACATAAAATTTCATTTTATCGTTCATACATAAAATTTCATATCATCATTCATACATAAAATTTCATATCATCATTCATACATAAAATTTCATATCATCATTCATACATAAAATTTCATATCATTCATACATAAAATTTCATATTATCATTCATACATAAAATTTCATATCATCATTCATACATAAAATTTCATATCATTCATACATAAAATTTCATACTATCGTTCATGCATAAAATTTCATATCATCGTTCATGCATAAAATTTCATATTATCACTCATACATAAAATTTCATATTATCATTCATACATAAAATTTCATATCATCATTCATACATAAAATTTCATATTATCATTCATACATAAAATTTCATATCATCGTTTATACATAAAATTTCATATCATTCATACATAAAATTTCATATCATCATTCATACATAAAATTTCATATCATCAT